TTAATGAATTTATTTAATTTCTTTAATTTCTCACGGAGAGGCCCAGAAATTAAAGAAATTAATGAAATTAATTAATTTCTTTAATTTCTTTAATTTCTCACAGAGAGGCCCAGAAATTAAAGAAATTAAAGAAATTAATTGGGGGGCCCCCCCCGGCTCACGGGACTAATTACAATAAATTAAAGAAATTAATGAAATTAATGAAATTAAAGAAATTAATTGATTTCTTTAATTTCTTTAATTTCGCACAGAGAGGCCCAGAAATTACAGAAATTAATGAAATTAATTAATTTCTTTAATTTCTTTAATTTCTCACAGAGAGGCCCCGAAATTAAAGAAATTAATGAAATTAATTAATTTCTTTAATTTCTTTAATTTTTCACAGAGAGGCCCAGAAATTAAAGAAATTAAAGAAATTAATTGGGGGGGCCCCCCCGGCTCACGGGACTAATTAAAATAAATTAAAGAAATTAATGAAATTAATGAAATTAAAGAAATTAATTAATTTCTTTAATTTCTTTAATTTCGCACAGAGAGGCCCAGAAATTAAAGAAATTAATGAAATTAATTAATTTCTTTAATTTCTTTAATTTCTCACAGAGAGGCCCAGAAATTAAAGAAATTAATGAAATTAATTAATTTCTTTAATTTCTTTAATTTCTCACAGAGAGGCCCAGAAATTAAAGAAATTAAAGAAATTAATTAATTTCATTAATTTCTTTAATTTCTTTAATTTCATTAATTTCTTTTAATTAGTCTCGCAAGCCCGAAGGGCTACCGGAATTAATTTCTTTAATTTCTTTAATTTCTTTAATTTCTCACAGAGAGGCCCAGAAATTAAAGAAATTAAAGAAATTAATTGGGGGGGGCCCCCCGGCTCACGGGACTAATTAAAATAAATTAAAGAAATTAATGAAATTAATGAAATTAACGAAATTAATTAATTTCTTTAATTTCGCACAGAGAGGCCCAGAAATTAAAGAAATTAATGAAATTATTTAATTTCTTTAATTTCTTTAATTTCTCACAGAGAGGCCCGGAAATTAAAGAAATTAATGAAATTAATTAATTTCTTTAATTTCTTTAATTTCTCACAGAGAGGCCCAGAAATTAAAGAAATTAAAGAAATTAATTAATTTCATTAATTTCTTTAATTTCTTTAATTTCTTTAATTAATTAGTCTCGCAAGCCCGAAGGGCTACCTGAATTAATTTCTTTAATTTCTTTAATTTCTCACAGAGAGGCCCAGAAATTAAAGAAATTAAAGAAATTAATTGGGGTAGCCCCCCCGGCTCACGGGACTAATTAAAATAAATTAAAGAAATTAATGAAATTAAAGAAATTAATTAATTTCTTTAATTTCTTTAATTTCTTTAATTTCGCACAGAGAGGCCCAGAAATTAAAGAAATTAATGAAATTAATTAATTTCTTTAATTTCTTTAATTTCTCACAGGGAGGCCCAGAAATTAAAGAAATTAATGAAATTAATTAATTTCTTTAATTTCTTTAATTTCTCACAGAGAGGCCCAGAAATTAAAGAAATTAAAGAAATTAATTAATTTCATTAATTTCTTTAATTTCTTTAATTTCTTTAATTTCTTTTAATTAGTCTCGCAAGCCCGAAGGGCTACCGGAATTAATTTCTTTAATTTCTTTAATTTCTCACAGAGAGGCCCAGAAATTAAAGAAATTAAAGAAATTAATTGGGGGAGCCCCCCCGGCTCACGGGACTAATTAAAATAAATTAAAGAAATTAATGAAATTAAAGAAATTAATTAATTTCATTAATTTCTTTAATTTCGCACAGAGAGGCCCAGAAATTAAAGAAATTAATGAAATTAATTAATTTCTTTAATTTCATTTATTTCCCTAAGAGAGCCCCAGAAATTAAAGAAATTAAAGAAATTAATAGGTAAATAAATTAAATTCCTCATACAAGTGATATACGTGAAATGGACCCAAAAGGTCCCTCTCACATACATATATACATATATACATATATATATATAAGTGATACGTCCCCAGGACCACCATTCTTCTTCCACTCCCTCAGTTTCTGGGCTCCACAATGGCCAACCACGACACCTGGAGTGCTCAAACAAGAGAAGCCAACATCCTGCAGGCGATTGCAACTTGAACCCCAAGAGAAGAACCCCAAACACTACCTAGGGTTCAGGGTCTATCTAGGGTTTAAGGTTTATAAGGTTTAGGGTTGAGGGTTTAGGGCTTAACCCCAACCCTGAAAAAAAAAACCCTCAGAGCATCCCTTGGGGCCCTCTGGGGGCCCCAAAAAAGGCCCCTAGCCCAAACTTTTGAGGGCCGGGCAGATCCATTCGAACTCCAGGGCTGCGGGGTCCTCAGCGGAGCCGCTGGGCGCCGACGCGAAGTGGGCCTTGCGCTTAGATGGGTGTGTAGATGGGTTTAGGGTTTAGGGTTTAGGGTTTAGGGTTTAGGGTTTAGGGTTTAGGGTTTAGGGTTTAGGGTTTAGATGGGTTGAGATGGACCGAAGCCGGGTTGTGGAGCTTGGGATCTGACCTTTTTGAACATCTTACAGGCCTTGAACGAAGAAGAAGCTAAAATCCTACTTTCACCTCCCCCCAACCTCCCAGTACTCCTGGCTGCCATAGTCGGGCGGCTCACCTCACGCTGGAGAAAGCCCTGCCCGCTCTTTATGATCTGATGTAGATGTGTCAGAATGCATTTTCCGGGGGCAGCGGCACTGGTAGTCATCCCAGGCATCATCGGCCATGAGCCGGCCTGGGAAGATCAGTGTCAGGCAGCAGGCATCATGAACAAGCTTTCAGGCATCATGAACGTGACCACCGGCTAAGAAGGGTATGGAGGCCCACGATTCTGCGGAGCTCCTAAAATTAGGCTGCGATCCGTATTGCTTAGGGTTCCCCCGGGGGGAATGCGGGTCCGGGACCCCTGCCTCAAGCTTCCAGCTTCAATTCCCAAACCTTTCTGGACCATCCATTTTAGTGAACAACTCATCTAGTCCACCCGCGGTGCAGGGATTTCTTACATCTTACATTGAAGGTCAACGGCATCCTCGCCCAATGTTCCGCGAAGGTCTCCTTCGCTTGGTCCCCGGAGTGCCCACCCCAAGAAAACCGGCAAAGAGCCCCACAGAAGATCCCTGGGGGCTACATGCCAGCCTCGTCAGAAGCCGCCAGCCCCATCTCCGCGGCCATGTGCAGAAGTGGGTTCCAAGGGCTTGAACGGCTCCCTTTTGGAATGCTGCCACGCGTAACTTCATAAGACGCGCGGCCATGTTCCACACGTGCCAGTCTCAACTCCTAACGTGGGACATCCCCTTCTGTAAACGATACTGGAAGCAGGTGGACGGGCAGACATGGAGTGCATGAAGAGCAAGAAATTTGCACTGGCGACTTTGGGCGCACATGCGCTCCTTGTGGAACTTCTGGGCATACGTGGAACTCCTGCCTCCGCCTCCTCGTGAAGGGTTCGTTTGCCGCGGCTCTCCATGATGAACTCTTCGACGACGCCACTGTGCAGGTTCAGGCGCAGCAAGAGCATGGGGTCAAACTATGCAGACACAGGCATAAACAGGGCCCGCCGTCCACACAAGAACAAAGCATAACAAACCCCCGAAGAAAAATCGTGGCCACCTTGTCATGTCCATGGAGATGAGCTACATATACGAGAACCAACATCGTTCTCGTGTTGCCTGATGGCACGAACATCGCTTGTTCATGCCTGACGGGGCCTTCAAGCGCAGTATTTTTAAACGTTTGTTGGGCAAGCTTGCGGTGTTCAGGGTATCGTCACATTGCTGCATGGCAGTTCAGGGTTCCGCTAGAATTCATGTGTTACGAAGACACCCCAATTTTGATCCCGACTCCCACGCAACTCTCGGCCCCTTCCCTAAACCCTAAACCCTAAACCCTACACCCTGAACCCTGAACCCTAAACCCTAGGGGTACCCTAAGCCCTAAGCCCTAAACCCTAAGCCCTAAGCCCTAAACCCTAAACCCTAAACCCTAAACCCTAACCCCAAACCCTAACCCCTAAACCCTACACCCCAAACCCTAAACCCTAAACCCTAAACCCTAAACCCTAAACCCCAAACCCCAAACCCCAAACCCCAAACCCCAAACCCCAAACCCCAAACCCCAAACCCCAAACCCCAAACCCCAAACCCCAAACCCCTAACCCTAAACCCCAAACCCTAAACCCTAAACCCTAAACCCCAAACCCTAAACCCTAAACCCTAAACCCTAAACCCTAAACCCTAAACCCTAAACCCAACCCTACACCCAAAAACCTGCAACACAGAGGGACCCGTAACCCCGTGTTGCATCCCCGAGGCGCCTGAGACGTCGGACGTGCGCCGCCAGCTCCGCGGGCTTGGCTTCCCGTGGCAAGAAGAGCCTCCACAATAATCTGGCTGGTTCTTAGTAGGTAGAGGTTTAGGGTTTAGGGTTTAAGGTTTAGGGTTTTGGGTTTAGGGTTTAGGGTTTAGGGTTTTGGGTTTTGGGTTTTGGGTTTTGGGGTTTAGGGTTTAGGGAATGAAGGGATGAGGTACGCTATATAATCCCTTAAAGGGTATATATAGGGCCCTGATTGCATCATTCCCTACTAAGAACCAGGGGGGTCATGCCCAAACATCCCGAGAACGCACTCGCAAAAAGACCTACGCTGAAGCTGATCCTAGAATCCTGAAACCAAGCGCGCAAGTTGCAAAAGAAGGCGAGCAGACGCATTTTGAAACACGCGAAGTCTGCTTGAGATCTGTTTCGTAGTGCTGTGCACCGTCTCTGCAGTTCGCACGTGCATACCTCAAACCAAACCCACGGACAAGCATCAGTAGTGGGTCCTACCCTTGTCATGTATGAAGAGTGGGTTTGGGCTTGGGGCATTTTGGCAAGGATTCAAAAATTTTACAACGTCGAGGTGCCTCCCACGCGTCAAGCAATCGTGTGGCTTGACCGAGTGGCCCCCAACCTGTTCCTCTTGATACATCTTGCTCTCAATCTCAAAATCGAGCTGCTGACCCCAGCAGTGCAGCCGAAGCCAACATGTGCAATGACCATAAAGGCATGCCGTGGGCATTGCTAACTGGCTGGTTGCCGCTATCGCTTGTAGTGCTGCTACCACCTGTTCCGCTATCACTTGTAGTGCTGCTACCACCTGTTCCGCTGTCACCGGTAGTGCTACTGCCATCTTCGGTGTCATCCTCGAACTCCGAGTAGCTCAAGAGCGGGTCGTAGATCAGGGTGTCATTTGCCGTGAAGTTGGCCCGCGGGAACTCAAGCACCAGGGTTGTCGTGCGCCTGCTGGCGCCCGAGGTACCAGGAGGCGGATCGATGGTGAGGACGGGATTCTTGGGCAATGTGTACTGTGTGATTGTCCCATCCTGAGATTGGATCATGTACGTGTTGAGCACTGACAAGTAAACGCCTCCCAAGTCCTCAACGGCACCATTCTCACAGGAGCCACCCGTGCAACCCGTGAGCCTCCTTGAGGAATTGGAGCTCGAGTTGGTGCCCGAACTGTTTGAGTCAGGCAGTGTGGTGGTGGTGGTGGTGGTGGGGGTGGTGGTCGGGGACAGTGTGACGACCTCTGTGGTGGTGTCGTTCGAAGACGTGTCTGATGACTCGGTGACTTCATTGATCATCTCAATCGTCAGACGAACCGAATCACCTACTCCATCCGCTGACTTGCAATTGTCAGCGCACCAATTCCACTGGCTCATCTTCACGTTGAACTTCACTGTCCCTTGGGAAATGGTGGGATGAATGTACGTGCCGTCGGGGTTTTGAAACTGCAAGATCGCATCCTCCATGAAGATGATGGATTCGATCTCAAGCTTGGAGTCTGTGTCCGGGTTCCCACTACCGAGATAGCTGGTGAAGGACACAGTTGTCACGTTGTAGTCTTTGGGCGAGTGACCGGTCGGACTGTCCGGCACCAGCCCATCAGCTCCCGCCGTGTCCTTCTGAACCCCGGCGATGGTGCTAGCCATCGGATTTCCGAAGGTGAAGTCTTGGGTGGCGAAGCTGTTGAAGGAATGCTTGGCATTCCCGCCACCTCCCAGCACCGTGCCATCCGCCGCGAGCTCCTGCAAGCTCGCCATTTGGATCTGCACGCGGTCAGGGGCTGATCCCACAGGTTCAGTCGTGGCGAAGGTCATCTTGCCACTCTGGCCCTGGATCTTCATGAAGATGCCGCCGCCACTGATGCTTTGATCTCCAAGCACCGAGGGTCCGAAAGTCAGGACCGCAGCAATCCATAGTTGCAAGGTCCGCAGCATGTTAATGCCGGTAGGCTTCTGCAAAAGGAATCGAGACGCCTTGGTCCGATCTTTGAAAAGGTTGACAAACACGGTCTGAGCCCATATGAGCCCCGCATTGTCTCACCAAGGTTTTCACTGATACCTGCCACGAGAGAAGCAGCACCGAGATTGCGCAGTGTGGTTACCCAGCAAAAAGTTGACCCCAAACATCTAATGGGATTCTTGTTTTACGGCTGCTGGGCCCAAACTCCAGGTGCTTGGTGACACTTTGAGGCTAAGAGCACTACAAACCTCTATCCAGCCCAAAACCGCTGCACAGCGGGATGATCCACAAAATAGGGTCCTCGTTTTGTAAACCCAGATTGTTAAAAAGCCCTCAGGCGCTCTGAGGCTCCGACAACCGCAGATCTGACTCACCGGCGCCCTCGCCTGAGCAGCTCGGTAGGCGTACGCGGCGGTGCCCGTCATGACCGTCGTCATGGGGTGGCCAAACAGGATGTGGGTTTAGGGGGCCTTGGTGGGGTTTTGGGGTTTTAGAATTTAAGGATTTGTGCGGCTGGTGGTTTGCGGGATAGGGGGCTTAGGTCGCGCCTGGCTTTGCCAAACAGCGGATGAACCGGCGCCTCTATCAGCGAATCAGGCATGGAAAACAGACAGAGGTACAGACAGAGGTACAAGACATATACATATATATATATATGCAGATATATAGAAATGTGTTTAAATATGTATACATATATAGATACATATACTTCTATACATGTATGTATAGATATACGCATATATATATATCTACATATATATATATACTGCCCCCGCATTGACCTGTCTTTCTTGTTGCGCTTCTTTCCATGTAAAAAACGGAGGCGGGCTTGAATTCTCCAAGCTGCAGCTGTGAAGCCAGAAAGACAAGGTGGCAAGGCAGGAGTGGGAGCAGTAAGATTCTACGCAGGGTATATGCCTGTAACAAATGGAAAATGAAGTCTGAAGGCCATGCTCTGTTGCGATTAGGGATTAGATTGACTAGATAAAATCTTTGAACTAAATCATCAATAAATGGCTTCAAGGGTTCTATTCTTTACGAACTGGATATTCGGTACCCCAAGTTTCAATTGTTCAACTTGAAGATATTTGAGTTGGCCTGATTTACGTAATTGGAAGTCAACTGCAATTCTTGAATACATTCTAGAAATCTTAAAAGGCGGGATATTGAAAGAAAATGAAGGACAGCTTTGCATCTCCTCGTGGTTACTTTGCCGGCGAATACTATGAGCAACAATGTTCGCGAGATTCAGCCTTCAAACTTGAGAGGGAACCATTAAACTTGGTATGGAACTAATATCACTAAAGGTGTTGTTCCAGCAGTTCTACGCGATAAACATGTGAAGAATCCCATGCTCAACTTGCGGGGGGCATGTCGGCCCGGTGTACCACTCTGAGATAGCAAAGGCTACATAAGACATGAATTCAATTGGGGGTTTAGGAACCCTCATGAGAGACCCCCAATAAGCAGATTCCCTTATAATAAGGACCCCAATAAGGTACCCCTAATTTCGGAAACGCCCAATTCTTGCCCACATGAATTGAAGTTCTGCTTGGTGGGGTGGTTCACACTGATGACTCCAACGACACTGCGATTGGAGAGAGGAATAGCAACGAGAAAACCTCAAACACAGTTGTGCCAGATGTGCTGATGTGTACACATAAGCACAGTACATAATAGTATTCACAGCACTCATGCCACCACCAAGCAACGTATTCCATGACATGATGCTGACGCTATGCACCCACTTGCCCCAATTGCCCACCCGCCCCTCCCCCATTTCTTCGTTGGGTGGGACTGGACAGCGAAAAGCCCCTCGAGATCGAGTTACTAGATCGTTGCCCAGTGGGACAAGTGAGGCAAGTGGGGCAAGCAACCTTAAGAACTTACCCCCATCCGGATGCAGTCTATACATATGCATGTGTATATATATATATATATGGGGGGGGTTCTCTAACACATGGACATGGTCCCTTTGGGGTCCTTGTTTTTTTTTTTTATCTATCTCTCTCTATCTATCTATCTATCTGTCTATCTCTGTGTGTGTGCTTCAAGAAAACACGAAAAGTATTCTGGAATTTCTACTTGCGCTTCCGACTTGCATTCGCTTCAGCTCTCGTGCCTGTGGTCCGCGTAATCCACCCAAGTCTTCAGCACGCGCTTCATGGAAGATCCTCGGTGACTTGGTGACGCGGTGACTCAGACCGGGAGTGGCGACCTCCTGGTCCAGGGCTCAGGGGACGACCGACCTGGTGGATGAACTTAGATCGCTTGAGAAGGAAGCCTCTCATTGCGCAAGCTCACAGCCCCCCCCCTGATCTTATAGGACGCATGCCCGTGACGCGCAACGTAGCAGGCCGAGCAGGTCACCCATATCTGGTGTCTCCTCTGAGAACTCCTGTGACATGAACTACTTCTGCATGCTCCCAACCCCAAAAGACTGGACCCTGAAGCGATCCTGGAGGAGCTCGGGGATGTTGGCCTTCAGCGACAATGACAATGGCTCTCGCGTCTTTGTGCGGCACGCCCAAGTGTGACCAAAGGGTAAGCCTCGTCCCATCGCTGGGCAAGGTAGTCTGCGAGTTGCAGTCCACACCTGCGGCCCGAATGCCGAGAAATCTCATGGCTAGCAGTTTAACAAGGCCGGGAAACCACAGCATGCCACATTTCATAAGTGCAGTGCCAGAGTGCGCACGACGAGGCCGCGAAGGACAGTCGCATTCGACCTACCACAGTCCCTGGCTGCTATTTAAGCAAGAAAAGTAGCTGGCTGGCAGAGATCCAAAGCACCGATAGGCAGAGTGTTCTCTGTACCCAGAGACTCCAAAACCCCTTAATTAAGGAATATACCTTACATTCTAGCAGGAACCCTAATATGATTTAAGGTATATTCCTTAATTAAGGGGTTCTGGAGTCTCTGGGTAATCCTCAGAAGCCCGCCACCCACGTTGGCAGCTTTGGCCACTCCCTGAGTGCAAAGGATCTTACGCCGTGGTGTGGCTCTTACTCAGACTTGATATATGATTAATACTACTCATAATATAAATAATGTTGGTATGATTAACTTATCATACTATTGATACTAATAGACATATTAAAAGGATCATGAAAATACAAAATCTGACTTGGCTGCGTGCCCGTGACAGGCCCGCCATTTGCTCCAAGGACTGCGCCACACGCACCGGAGCCTGTGACACGAGGCTGCTGAGTTTACGCAAAAAAAGCTGCAAGAGCTCTGCTCGGGACATATAATATTAGTTATATTATGAATAGTATGAACTATATATTAATAATAGTAACTATATGAATAATATTAATAATACACTGGCCCACGACCCCCTCCTTGGCATCGAGAAGGGCCTGAAACGATAGCAAGGCCTCAGGACTTCGGTCTTTGCATGTCCTTGGGTTTAGGGTTTAGGGTTTAGGGTTTAGGGTTTAGGGTTCAGGGTTCAGGGTTCAGGGTTCAGGGTTTAGGGTTTAGGGTTCAGGGTTCAGGGTTCAGGGTTCAGGGTTCAGGGTTCAGGATTCAGGGTTCAGGGTTTAGGGTTTAGGGTTTAGGGTTTAGGGTTTAGGCTGTAAGGTTTAGGGTTTAGGGTTTAGGGGGGGCTGGGCTCCCCGCATCCACCAGGGCATTCGCACCTCGAAGCACCGCGGGATGAAAGCTTAGGGTTCAGAGTTTCATCGTTTCAGTGTTTCAGGTTTAGGATTCAAGGTTCAGGTTTAAGGTTCAGGGCCTAGGGCTTCGAGGGTTTAGAGTTTCGGGTTCAGGGACGGACATGGACCAGGTGAGAGCAGCACCTGCACCGAGGCTCGAGGCAGCGCTGGAGAGGAAGTCATTGCAGGCGGCTCCAAAGGCGGCCTTGGGGCCGCAAACTTACTGTTGGTTAGCAGGGAATCGGGGAATGAGGTACCCTATATAATCCCTTAAAGAGTATATATTGGACCCTGATTCTCTCATTCCCTGCTCGGCAAAGCTGGCTCCCATGCCCACGATATGGGTTTAGGGCTTAGGGCTTGGGGTTTAGGACTTTATAGGTTTTGGTCTTTAGGTTTTTAGTTGTTTTCAGGCTTTGGGTTTTAGGTTTAGGCTTTAGGTTTTCAGGGTTCAGGGTTCAGGGTTCAGGGTTTAGGGTTTAGGGTTTAGGCCTCAACCTTACGGTAAGCTCTTGGAATGCTAGTCCTTTTTTGCAGGATGCGGGGTTCGGGTTAGGGATCAAGTAAGTCCGCGAGGCATCGAATAAGGAGTCAAAACCCTCAAAACCCTGCAGGGTCATGGTGCGCAAAGCTCCACAAGACGTGTCACTTGACACATGTCTGCCGCATCTTCTGCCTATTCACAAGTTTCGAATATGGAAAATACCCTATTGCGGCCTGGCTTTGGCATGGCTTTGCTTTACTTCGTGCGGGGCGACTAAACATGGCTTGGTTCCTTTGACTGGCATCCTTTTCCAAAACATGGCTGGGTTTTTGTTTGGCCTTGCTCGCGCACCCCCCACCTCATGCGCAACAGTGTCAGCACTGCCCTGGTGCTTTGTCGTTCTTCTTAGGTTGTTAGGGGTCTTGCTTGTGAAAGGAAATAGCAGTGAGCATGATTGGGCTAAGTTGATTCTTCGAAGGTCCTGCTTATGAAGCGAAAGGGAACGGATTGAAAGCATGGTTTGGTTGGTTTGGTATTGCCAGGGCCGACGTACATGCTTTTCCCCCAAACAGTTCATTGTAGGGGCTCCTGTTTCCTTCTAAGAATTCTGACCTAGCCGGATACTCCGGCCGGGTCCCTGGGTTGTCTCCATGTGTCTCCCTCTGTCTCCCTTCATGTCGGTGGCCTCGGCCTTGGCCCAACATCCACCCCTCAAGCAGGGATGTTGGCCCAACATCCACCCCTCAAGCATGGATGTTGGCCCAACATCCACGCCTCAAGCGTGGATGTTGGCCCAACATCCACCACTCAAGCGTGGACGTTGGTCCAACATCCTGAGGGGTGGATGTTGGCCCAACATCCACCCCGCGAGCGTGGATGTTGGCCCAACATCCACCCCTCAAGCGTGAATGTTGGCCCAACATCCACCCCTAGAGCATGGATGTTGGCCCAACATCCACTCCTCAAGCGTGGATGTTGCAACATCCACCCCTCAAGCGTGGATGTTGGCCCAACATCCACCCCTCAAGCGTGGATGTTGGCCCAACATCCACTCCTCAAGCGTGGATGTTGGCCCAACATCCACCCCTCAAGCGTGGATGTTGGCCCAACATCCACCCCTCAAGCGTGGATGTTGGCCCAACATCCACCCCTCGAGCGTGGATGTTGGCCCAACATCCACCCCTCAAGCGTGGATGTTGGCCCAACATCCACCCCTCAAGCGTGGACGTTGGTCCAACATCCACCCCTCAAGCGTGGATGTTGGCCCAACATCCACCCTGCAAGCGTCCACCCCTCGAGCGCGGATGTTGGCCCAACATCCACCCCTCAAGCGTGGATGTTGGCCCAACATCCACTCCTCAAGCGTGGATGTTGGCCCAACATCCACCCCTCAAACGTGGATGTTGGCCCAACATCCACCCCTCAAGCGTGGATGTTGGCCCAACATCCACCCCGCAAGCGTGGATGTTGGCCCAACATCCACCCCGCAAGCGTGGGTGTTGGCCCAACATCCACCCCGCAAGCGCGGATCTTGGCCCAACATCCACCCTGCAAGCGCGGATGTTGGCCCAACATCCACCCTGCAAGCGCGGATGTTGGCCCAACATCTACCCCGCAAACGTGGATGTTGGCCAAACATCCACCCCTCAAGCATGGATGTTGGTCCAACATCCACCCCTCAAGCCCGCAGGCGTGGATGTTGGCCCAACATCCACCCCGCAAGCGTGGATGTTGGCCCAACATCCACCCCGCAAACGTGGATGTTGGCCCAATATCCACCCCGCGAACGTGGATGTTGGCCCAACATCCACCCCTCAAGCGTGGATGTTGGCCCAACATCCACCCCTCAAGCGTGGATGTTGGCCCAACATCCACCCCTCAAGCGTGGATGTTGGCCCAACATCCACCCCTCAAGCGTGGATGTTGGCCCAACATCCAACCCCTCCAGCGTGGATGTTAGCCCAACATCCAGCCCTCAAGCGTGGATGTTGGCCCAACATCCACCCCTCGAGCGTGGATGTTGGCCCAACATCCACCCCTCAAGCGTGGATGTTGGCCCAACATCCCCCCCTCGAGCGTGGATGTTGGCCCAACATCCACCCCTCAAGCATGGATGTTGGCCCAACATCCACCCCTCAAGCGTGGATGTTAGCCCAACATCCACCCCTCAAGCGTGGATGTTGGCCCAACATCCACCCCTCAAGCGTGGATGTTGGCCCAACATCCACCCCTCCAGCGTGGATGTTAGCCCAACATCCACCCCTCAAGCGTGGATGTTGGCACAACATCCACCCCTCAAGCATGGATGTTGGCCCAACATCCACCCCTCAAGCGTGGATGTTGGCCCAACATCCACCCCTCGAGCGTGGATGTTGGCCCAACATCCACCCCTCAAGCGTGGATGTTGGCCCAACATCCACTCCTCAAGCGTGGATGTTGGCCCAACATCCACCCCTCAAGCGTGGATGTTGGCCCAACATCCACCCCTCAAGCGTGGATGTTGGCCCAACATCCACCCCTCAAGCGTGGATGTTGGCCCAACATCCACCCCTCAAGCATGGATGTTGGCCCAACATCCACCCCTCAAGCGTATCCAAAAAATGGGGAGGGGCCAGTACAAGACCTTCCAACACCACTCCAAGACGCAAAAACAGCCTTGGACCAGTCCAAGAGATCCAAGGACCACTCCACAACCAATTTCATGCATCATGAACTCCTCATAAACGCATTGCTTGTATTCTCTTCGCAAAGAAACCCACCTTTTCCAGAGTAACATCAGGGTCTTGGAGTTCGCGAAAAGCCCCTACAATTTTATGAGTATTGATGCGCGTGTGTGAACTTACCGCAGTAGTACTTTAAGATTGAGGCATTCACTCGCGGGCACAACACGGTCCCTCCTTGATTGCTGTTGTCCAGGTTACCCTACCACATACCGAATTAAACCAGGGGTCCAAAAGAACTTGGAGACTCTGCCATTGAGTACCACAGCAGAACTCGCCATGCCTGGGGACGTCATGGCATCTGTTTCCTGGGCGCCGCGCTTCGGGCCGCGTCCGCATGCGAGCCATGGAGGCCTTGCCATGGTGGGGTGTGTTTCTTGGCCGACGTGCTGAAAAGGCTCCATGGTCCCTGGAGGGGTTCAGCGTGCGCTTACACAATGTGCAGCCTTCAGAAGTGTCAACCCCCTTGCTTGAAGGTTTCGCCCAGGCTACCAGGGCTCGTCGGCTTGAACGTGTTGGACGGAAGGCAGTCGGACAATGTCCGGACTTTGCCGATAGATATCCGCACCCTTGCCCGCCTAGGACCTAGCCCATGGCAACTTGTCTACAGTGGCGCTCCAGTTTGTGTCCTCGTTCCTCGGACGAACGACAATAAAGAGTGAAGGTAAGAACAGGTAAGAATGTAAAAACAAAACACACACACACACACACACACACCATTCAAGAACAAGAAAACAACCAGGCAGCGGGCCTCATCTGCTGGAATCAGATCCGGAGCAGCGCGCAAGAACTCCTCCTGCAGCGTCGGTCCCACGAGTCAATCGCAGCCTCTTTCTGACAAGCTTTAGCCTTGCACCGGTGATAACCTACAAAGGCCGAGGAACATCGGCAAGGGTGCGAGGACGTTTTGCAAATCCTTTTCGCTGAAACATAGGAGCGGGCTTCCGAATGCGGCAGTATCTCCGAATATCCCAGAGTCGTCCTGTGCAGCCACGAAGAAGCTCTGTGGAGGAAGCACTGCAGAGTCACCTGAAAGCCTCGCTGAGCTTTGGCTTTGGGAAAGGCTGGCATCTCACGCACGCAAGGGAAATGTGATGAAAAGTGTGCCTGAGAGCTGCACGGCCTTTTTGACAGCACCAGGTTCTCTGTCACTTTACGCACCTAAAGCAAAGGTCCCGAAAACGCGGAAATGGGAGACTCACAACCGACAGAAGTTTGTATCAACTGAGTACAAGGTGCTCAAATACTTCAAACTACCTCAAATTACGAGATGCACCTACAATACCAATCGGTAAAGTTTGTACAGTAGGACCCTATAAAGCCGCATGCCCACAAAAGCCCAACAGAAGCCCCTTGTGGGGGCAGGGCCTCCTCATTGAACCGTGAGCGCTCCTGCGCCAGCTTGGCCTGATCAGCCTGGCTGCCGCGTGGAGTGTGCGGACGTGTGCAGGGTGGACTGCTTGCTCCTGTCTTCCACAGGGCACCAAGTGGAAGTCTTCAAATCAAATTGATCTTGAAGATTCGTTGAGATCGAATGCAAACTCTCAGAGCACAGGGGCCACGGACAAATGGCTATGCCCAAAGCTGCATCCATGAGAGACATTGAGTCTCTGACACTTCCCAACTCGAGACCCCTAGCTGGACGCGTGGGCCTCATGCTGCTTCTGGAGCTTCGCCAGCTCTGCCTGGTCCTTGAGGAGGTCCTCGCGTCCTGAGGCTGGTGCGTTTTAAGGCTGATGACGCATTCCCTAAGCCTAAGCCCTATAAACCTCGAAACCAGACCTAGGAGTTTGACGAGAAGCTTTGAGTATAAGAAGTAGGTGCCCCGGTGCCTCGTCTAAGGCGCCGCTGCTGCTTCTCAAGGTCCAGTTGATCCTGCAGAGTTATTCAACAGGTGTGTTCATGAGGCGAGCTTGAGCGTCACAACCGAGAGAGGCATACGGGGGCAGTTCTCTGAATCATGGTCCGTCTTTGGCACCGTAAATTTGGGGCTCCATGTCAAAAGCATTCAAAAGCCCAAAGTCCGCGGGCACAGATATACCAGTAATAAGGTTTGCATGACCTGATTCGGGCTTGGAGGGTTGAAGGTTGAAGAAGGCTCTGCTGTCCAAGGGGTAAGGCTTAGTTAGTAGGGTTTGAGTTTTTTTTACGTGGGAAGGCTTCGTGCGCAGGAACTGAGGGTTAAGACTTGGGGCAGCTGGCATCCGCAAGTTGGCTCGGCCTCCTGATAGCGCTTCAGCTTCTCCTGACGACGACATCCAAAAACCAATGAAAGACAGGGTCCCACCAAAACCCCTGGTGTTTTGGTTCTTTGGTTTCCCTTGTTCTTTTGCTTGGTTTCAGTGGTTGGGCTTACGGATTGACGTTGTCTTCATCAAACAAGGGGGGTGGGGCAAGCCTGATTGCACCTCGAACATTACCTGGACGGCACGGACGAGTTTGCACAGGGAATCTAAACTCAGACGGAAACGTGATTTGGGCATCAGAAGATGCACGTCCTGGGAGCACCTTACACGACTCCAATCCTTGCCCAATCATAAGCTCTCTCTGGAGTTCAGGCTGCAACCCCCAAGAGGCGTTCTGGAACTAAAGCAAGCTCTGGGGGGGGGGGGGAGTGGGTTCTGCCGAAAGTAGGGGTACTTTATTGGGGTCCTTATCATATGGGAATCCTTCTATTTTCGGGGCTCCTACTTTCGCAAACCTTAACATGCGAGACGCGCAGCCTCAAGCTTCTCCGTGACGCTTCGCAGCCGTCGCATCCCGGAGCTGACTTTCTTTATCCTGCACACAGCGGCTCAGGGCTTAGGCGGGGTTTCTGGGCTTGGGGATACTTTGGGTTGAAGGATTGGTCGCAAAGAACTGGGGACCTAGGCCGTGCGCTTTGCGTGCTACAGTAGTGCATTCTAAGCTCCTCCTGGACATGGAGCGCGCGAGGCTCTCGTTGTCTTGGCGAAGCAACGGAAACTCCTCGCGTGGAAGCAGCAAACGTCCGCGGAACTCCACAAGTATGCAGCCCAAAGACGGCGAGATCCAGCGGCTCAGCTACCCTTTGCTCAACAGTCCAAGTAAGCCATGCACATGCAAGGTCAAGTTGAGCCACACGTACTTTCCAGGCAGGACACTGCAGAAACATCCCTGAATATCCCTGAATATCCCTGAACATCCTTGAACATCCCTTGTGGCTAGCCACGAAAAGCCGAGTTTTGACGCTCCTCGCCATCCTCCAGGTGCTCCTTCACGGGATCCACGGGTGGCATTCTCAAGCCGCTGTTCCAAAAACTCTTCTACGCCCTGGCCTTTAGGGTTTGGGGTTTTTGGGGTTTCGGGATTCATATGGGCGGTTCACAGACTGCCTTCCTGTCTGCTTGGTGCACATTTGTAAGCACGTCTCTTGGACAAAGCTCTGTCGACCTTGTGTTCAGAGCTGCTCAAGGGGGGGAGGCGGGTCCTCGACGCCCTGTGCCAACACCTGCGCGTGCGACATCAAGAAGACGTGCCGGAGAGCAAGGCAGCTAAGCTGCTCCGAGCCTTGTCATCCAAGCGCCAGATGACACCGTCACTGCCTGACACACCAACTCGAGGCAAAAGTGACCGCGCAATCTGGCAAATATCCAAAAATCAATATGTTATTTCCCAAAATGAGGGTACCATCTTTTACCCCTATTCAAGGGACCCCCCAAAAACGGGACCCCTATTTTCGGAAAGCCCCATATACCTTGCAAGCGGGTCCTACCTGCCGGGGGCAGGCCATCTGCCGGCACGGGCCTGCATTGCAAAGGCCCCCGAAGAAGCTGCAGTGCACGCTACGCAATATACAACATATGCACTGTGTCCGCCCTCTTCTAAGGAACCCGGCACGTGCCTTAGCTCCAAGCGCAGGTGTCCAGAAAGCGGAGTGAGGACCTGAAGCGCTCTGAGCAATCCGCCAAGAAGATGGCTCAAAGCAGGACGGCCGGTGCTGGAGTTCGGTCCCCTACCCAAGCTTCGGCATTGCGATGCACGAAGACGTCCAGCCCGTCTTCGAGCTCCACAACCTGGAGGTCCTCGGCCTCTTCGGCCTCTTCCGTCTCTTCCGTCTCCTGCGTCTCGGCCTCTTCGGCCTTGGCAAGGGCTGGTGGACGCATCCACACACTCATCAATCGGCAATCTCCATCTGCTAAGATTGCGACCTGCGAGGGGTTTCCCGGGTTCTGGCCATCGACATCCACGATGCTGGAAGCCTGGCGACGTTGTGCGAACGCAACAGGCACCAAGCTGCGCCGAGGGGCATCGCAGCCCAGTCCTCGGCAACCGGTCGGATAGCCGGTGCCGTCGCAACTGGCAACTCTATCTCCTGCAGCTTTCGAGGAAGCAGGAGCCCAAGGGCCTAAGCGCCCAAAGCTCTTTCACATTCTGCGCTTGTTCTTCAAAAGCTTGTCCTCTTCAGGAGCTGGCTCCCGTCCAACGTCATCCGTCGACTTTGTTCTCCTTTGGGACTCAGAAATATAAATCCTTTAAACCCTATAGACCCTATAAACCCTATAAGCCCTATAAACCCTGTAAACCCTATAAACCCACAGCTATCCTCCGCCGCAGCACCGGTGCACGGCCGGCTGGGACTCCATTGGGTCCGTTGACCATTCCGCCGAGGCCAACGTGCAACCGGGTTTAAGGGTTTAGGGTTTGGGGTTTGGGGCTTAGGGTTTGTAAGGTTTGGGGTTTAGGGCTTAGGGCTTAGGGCTTCCCATCTGCTTTAACGTATAGCTTGCAGTGGCCATCGTAGCACAGTTCGAGTTTGCTCGATCTTAGTCTTCAGCACGCTTTGGACTGTCAGGCAGGATCTTTGGCCTCAGTAAGCCGCATGCCTCAATGACCTGACCTAGTAATCAATTTCGCACCTCAAAACTTCGTCCTTTCCTCCTGCGGCTGCCAAGGCGTCGGCCAGATCACGCTTCAGCCTTCGACACCCCCCCAACACCTTGGGCCATGGGCTCCTCTACACTACTAAGTCATCCCTGAATAGTGGAACAAGGACAAAGCCTGAGCTCCTCGACGAAAGCAAACGGGTGTGCGAAAGTGTATCCGAGCAGCACTTGCACCTCACGATCCTGTTTTTGGCTAACCGATAAGACCGATGGGCAAGTTTGGCCCAGAAATCGATCTTGCTGTCACGGAGAGGCTCGGCAGCATGACTCACGACAGCAAGACAGCATGTGTCACCGACCCTACAGCCTGAACCCTGAACGCTTAGGACTTATGGGGGCTTACGAAAATGAGGGACCCTAGACCCCCAAGAGTAGGATTCCCTTATAAGGAGCCCAATAAGGTACCCCCAATCTCGGAAAAACTCTTGTGGCTTTCACTACGTATCGATGCTGGCTGAGCCGTCTTCGCCATCAGTCCTTCAAATGGTGACTGCATGGAGTGAGGATCTATCAAACTCAGGGTTGAAGTCTCTACATGTTCAGGCGATGGCTTTAAAAAAATCGAACCATACGAAAAGGCACCCGATAGCTGATAACCTCACGACCTGAGCCACCGTCTTGGGGCCCGGTTCTTGTCACACTTGCTAAACGCGACCGCGCGGCAATAGTATGTCTCACGAGCTGCCCAGCTATATAGCCATACTCAGCTATGTATACCCGTCCACAAGCAGCGCGGACTCTTGACTGAGGGATGTCAAGAGCAACTTGAAACCATCAAAGTCACAGGCAATCACTATGGCGTTGAAGCGCACGCTTGCGCAGTCTGGGAAACTTGTCAGGATCTGATCTACACTCGAGGTCCATTGGCGTGTTGCTTTGGTGTTGCATATGGCACTGTCAGTCACGATCACCGTGCTATATCGCGAAGATTGCAAAATCTTGTTGTTCCGCATGTGCTTCCTTTCAACATGAGTTAACATGAGCCATCAGGCACGCGGGCGCCGGCGGCCTCGTTGCACCCACCTGACAGTGATGCTTCGAGCGCGCCCCTATCAAGAACCTGAAAAGCCTGCTTCAACATAAGCACAATGCCCGACATCAGGACTGGCTCAGCCAGGATGCGGCGGCAGCGCCGCCGGCTTCGCGGCTGCTGGCGCTGGGCCGGCAGCTGGGGCAGCCTTGATTTTGGGTGAAGAACTCTCAATCCCCGCACAACATGATGAAACTTCCACAGCTTACATGGGGATCTGCATTTGCAAGAGACTATCTTTGGAGCCTGAAAATGAAAAAGGCTCCCAAGCGCAACTCCACGCACAGATGGCACGAGAATGAACGTTTCTCTCTCCCCAGGTTGAGGCTGGACGTATGCTGCTGGCAGCACGCACACCTCTGAGGACTCAGGCGTCGGCTGGCTCGCAGGCTGCAGCAGCCGCCGCGGTCCTGGCACACTGGAGGTCCGTGCGCAGGAATCCGCGCAGAACGTCTCGAAGCTGCGTCGGTCACAGCATGAGTGCGTGGGTAAGCTTCCGGCATCAAGCGAGTGGCCGGATCCTGCACTTCGAGCGCCAGCTCCTCGTTCATGGCACGCAAGCATGTTGCAGGCATATTTGCAGCTGTCCATCTCTTGCCCCTCCAGGCTGGTTAACTCGCAAAGGCAAGCCGCACAAGTTAAAGGAGTCGTCCTCGGCCTTCTCGCCCTTCTGCGCCTGGGAACCCACCAGTGGCAAGAGAAGAGAAAAGGTAGGTGACCTCATATCTAGAGATTAAGTTTTAGTTGTCGGAAGGACTCCAAAGCGTTTGAAAACCGATGAACCTTAACGCTCCGACACCCCACGCCCGCAGGCGTAAAGTGAAGTTGTGTAGCCAAATCGTCCTATCTTGGAGTTCAGGTTGCCAGCCCCGCCTCGCCCCCCCTACCCCAGCGGAAGAGTTAGAAGAGTTCCAGTCGATGTTCAAGAATTCTCGAGAACCTCCTTGCGCCATGGTGTTTCCACTGAGGTCGCAGAGCCACTCGCTTGGGCACATATCGATATGTACACCACCCCACGCTTCAAAGCGGATTCTGACACTTTGGGAGATTTCAAGATTTTCCACTCCCGAATCTTCAGATCTGAGCCCCCCAAAGTCGAGGTGAACTTGGGGATGCACTCCGACCATTTGCAAGCTCTCTACTTGCGAGCCCTAACTTTTGCCAGCCAAAAAGACACAGCAACATGATCGGTTAAATCCCGACGTTGTGCAATGTTGCGCACGTGGCTTCCAGCCTCTTCCGCCGCGCTGGCGCCAGAGGCCATGTTCTCCTGGCACAGATTTCACAGTTCATGGGCTTAGGACGCGAGAGAGGGCTTCAAGGGTCGCTCCGGAGAAGCTACTGTAGTAGCACCAGAAAACAGGAAGAAGGAAGGAAACGAAAAAAGAGGCCAAGCGCGGAAAGGCGCTCAGAGAAAAAGCCTACACGTGGCTTCGCCGTGCCCTCACACCTTTTCTCGCGAACGACTGTGAAGGTGAAGTGACAAGGGGCTCGGTCCCTCTCTGCTGCAGGATAACTGCTGGATGCAAGCTTCGGAGAACGCATTCTGCGTGACCAGCGCTGCGGTGGCTGGCCGGAATCTCCAACAACAGCACAATACTTTCCCGTACCGGCTCTGCTTTTTCCCCGCGACAGCCAAAGCAACCACCCGCACCCCCTGTCCACACCCCCCTGCCCACCCCTCCACCCCCCGGCAGAAGAATCTGCTTGCACCACGGTGTTTTCAGATGAGGTTGTGGAGTTTCTCGCTTGGGCGGTAGGTGCCAACCCCCCGACGCCTCAAGGTGGAGATTCAAATCTGAGACCTGCTTTGGATTGAGACGAATCGTCGTTTGGAAGCAGTCTCTCACTTGCAGTTCAGAGTCTCTGCCGCAGGAAAATCACGCATGTGTGTTGAAACATGACACACAGACAATTGGACGCAAGATTCGGATACGCATTGCGTGCGGCCTGCACCGCCGCTGCTGGCCGGATGTTCCGGCAGCAGCAAAGCTGCAGCAGAATGTCGAAATTGAAAGTCATCATGCTTGAGGCAAACGGCACTGGCACGAGAAGGTCCGGAACATGTCATGGCCATGGTATCGCGGCGACCTTCCTGCCATGTATTGTCTTCACCCATTCAATGCTTGTCAACGCCATCATCTTTGACATAGTTGAAAGCAAACGGGAGTGCGAAAATTGTGTCCGATCAGCACTTGCACCTCACGATCCTTTTTTTGACTAACCGATGAGACCGATGGGCAAGTTTGGCCCAGCAGTCGATCTTGCTGTCACGGAGAGGCTCGGCAGAATGACTCACGACAGCAAGACCGCATGTGTCACCGACCCTACAGCCTGAACCCTGAGCGCTTAGGACTTATGGGGGCTTACGAAAATGAGGGACCCCCTACTTAGACCCCCAATAGTAGGATTCCCTTGTAATAAGGACCCCAATAAGGTACCCGTAATCTCGAAAAAACCCTTATGACTTTCACCACGCACCGATGCTGGCTGAGCCTTCTTCGCCGTCATTCACTTCAAATGGTGACTGCATGGAGTGAGGTTCTATCAAACTCAGGTTTGGAAATCTCTACATGTTCAGGCGACGGCTTAAACATAGAACCATACGAAAACGCACCCGATAGCTGAGAACCTCACGGACATCTGGGCCACCGTCTTGGGGCCCGGTGCTTGTCACACTTGCTGAACGCGACCGCGCGGCAAGAGTATGTCTCACGAGCTGCCCAGCTATATAGCCATACTCAGCTATGTATACCCGTCCACAAGCAGCGCGGACTCTTGACTGAGGGATGTCAAGAGCAACTTGAAACCATCAAAGTCACAGGCAATCACTATGGCGTTGAAGCGCACGCTTGCGCATTCTGGGAAACGTATCAGGATCTGATCTACACTCGAGGCCCATTGGCGTGTTGCTTTGGTGTTGCAGATGGCACACTATCAGTCACTATCACTGTGCTGTATCACGAAGATTGCAAAGTCTTGTTGTTCCGAACGTGCTTCCTTTCAACATGAGCAATCAGGCACGCGGGCGCCGGCCTCGTTGCACCCACCTGACAGTGATGCTTCGAGCGCGTCCCCTATCAAGAACCTGAAAAGCCTGCTTCAACATAAACACAATGCCCGACATCAGGACGGCTCAGCCAGGATGCGGCGGCAGCGCGGCCGGCTTCGCGGCTGCTGGCGCTGGGCCGGCAGCCGCTGGGACAGCCTTGAGCAGTTCCAGGGTTCCGCAGGTTTCTTCCAATGACTGGATATAATTGAAGCGTAGGGCAAAAAAACTACAAAGTAGCATATGCTCAACTCGTGGGGCTCCGGGAAGCTCCTTGGCGTCAGCGGATGTTGGAGAAACGAGTGGGCGGAAGTTACGGTGTTTTCAACGCTGCTCTCCAAAGGCTGCTATGTGCACGGGGCGGCCCGGTAAGTGCGACTTAAACCAACCACGAAGCGGTGCCTTTGGCCGCTCTTCCCCACCCCACCCTCTCCCCTGCTCTTTGGCACTGCGCAGAGTGCAGCCTTGTTGTTCCCTCCAAAGCACAAAAACACATCCGGGAGTCTCCAGATCAATACTTCAATCTGCGGTTTTATCATTATTTTGGGTGAAGAACTCTCAATCCCCGCACAACATGATGAAACTTCCACAGCTTACATGGGGATCTGCATTTGCAAGAGACTCTTTGGAGCCTGAA